TAGTCTATACTAATGATCGGGAACCAGTGGAACCAACTCGCAATCATGTGACTACTACCTTCTGCCCCCAAGCATACAAGCCCAGTTAAAGGGATGCTGGGGCCGGTGGGAAGGGGTTTACTGAAAAAATGTATGAATGTTGCTGAGAACATTAATAAATAGACCCATAAATGTTCTTTTTGGTACAGTTTAGAAAATAGGATAAAACGGTAGTAAAGACCTAGGTGCACTGTATAGTTATTACATCATTTTATAGAAAATATGTCATTAAGGTAGAATGCAAGGTACAACTTTTTCATTTTGGATAGAGCAACGGAGGGTTATCACATCTGTCAATTTTACTTTTGCTAGTTGTGTTCCATTGGGGAAATTTTCCTTCACTTCCTGTCCCATATCCAAGACAGGAAATTAGAGAAAATCCTCAGTAAGTGAAGGAATCCCTGGTTGTCACCAGAACTAGTGTTCCCATTGGACAATTTCCCCTCTATTACTGGTCTGGTGACAACCCAGAATTTGGGCTTTTTTCACTTTTAGTGATAACAGTTAAAGACAGAGAGGGATAATCTCCATAATGGGGCCACAGACGGCAATTAAAACCTGACAGGTGTTCTAATCCCTCTCCACTCTGTCCAAAGCTAAAGAAAAAGTTTTGGCTTTATAGTTTACACATTTTAGAATGTTTATATGCTGGCATTCTCACACAATCAGAGTCCAGTTTCTGGTTGATGGTATTGAGATGCTGCAAATAGTTTGAGCAGCACAATAAGCATGCTCCTCCAGTACATGGGAGTATTTCAATCTACTTATGCAAAAGCTGTTTCCAGCATTTTGGCCATCATCAGTGCATTGTACGGAAGCTATGGCTTCTGTGGAGTAGGGCTTGGGATCCAACAAGACTGGATAACCATACAGGATATGGTGAGAAAGGATCACTCTAATCAATGCATAGAACAGTAAAACCTTCTTTCAAACAGAAGGTCTTCACATGTCCTGTTATATCTCATATCCCAAAAATAAGATGAGTATTTCAGCACAATGGGATTCTCAAGGATCCATCCATGGTCCTAAAAGGAGAAATAATCGTTATTTTTGGAATATGTGATGGAATAAGACCTGTTTATTTTCATAAAAATACTTCTGACCATAATGTTTTATTTCCTCTATATCAGTAAAATGTACAAGTAATTAAGTGATCACCTTGTAAAAGGGAGAATATGGGAATTCCTGAGATCTTTCCTTTAGTATGACCCTTTAATATTGATCAGGTATTCCTCACTACTAACACACATTGATCCCATAGATCTGCTCCCATTCCTGTTATTATTCAGTAAGGTATAATGTGCCCCATAGCACCGCCTAGAGGACATTTATAGGCATTGGTAAATTCAGATACACGTGGACTAAAAAACTGACAATCTTCACTTCAATAATGGTGTAAATATTCACATGATTGGGTCTTTCTAGTGATCAAGAATTTCCTTTTCACTATTGGAAAATTGAAGTAAATACTCACACAATTATTTTGAGTGAAGGTTCTCATCTCGTTAAGTAAATCAACCTCATAATTGAGCATTCATATGGATCAGTTTCTGATCAGCTTTTCCGTTAAAGAAAACGTTAAAAAGTCCTGCTTGCTGCATTATTAGTGCATGTTTAGCGCATGTTAAAAAAACACACCAAAAATGCACCTCCCCATTAAATGAATGGAAAACGCAGCAAAAAAACACACCCGCAGTTGAATTTTTGACGTGTTTTTTGAGTCACATGACCATGTTTCACAGGTGCATTCTCACGTCAGGCAACCAGAAAATGCACCGCAAACGCAACAAAAACACAGCATATGCGTGTGAAAGCAGCCTTAACATACTTAGATTTATACACAATCACTTTTGTCTTTCATGAAGAATCTTCTTTCAGTAAGGGGAATTTGCATCTCTTAAACAAGCAAGTGCAAATATGCTACAGCAAGTCTCACTACACTCTGCATTTCCCACTGAAGAATGGGAAAATCTAAATGTCGATAAGTGCTTGCTAAAGCCAATATTGAGGGAATACACAGGTGAATGAAAATGGCAATCTTGTTTTTTTTTTTTTTTCTTTTTTTTGACAGCCAAGAATTAGCAATTGTTCAGAGTTTTGTGTCATTCGTAAGACCCCCCCCCCCCCATGTGGTGCAGATATAATGTTTGAAAACTGTAATTTGAAATCAAATTATACCAAGAAACATTACATACCAAATTTGCATCCCCTCCATGGCTGATGTCATTAAAATTGTAATTTCAAGTTATTTTGTTCTGTGCTATGCTTGTAATGATGTGTGTTTCTCCTTTCATCAAGCAGGCTTACGCAAAGCAGAGTATCTGTATTCTCAACACGAAGCAGCAATGCCTGTTGGGTAAGATTTATTTCATGAAGTACTCTAGTAAGAATTCTGCAAGCATGCTTATATAATATGACGTCTGCTGAATTTCTTGAAGCTGAACTCCAAGACAGATGGCTAAATACACAGAAGAAAAACACATATGAGGCGGTTTTACAGGTCAAAGGATTTGTATATCTGTCCATCCAGTCCTTAGATTTATACAACTTTACCACATGGCCCAGTCCAGGCTTGAGAAGGGTAGGGGATCTGATTTTCCTCTGCTGCAGTAAAGTAGCACTTAAGCTGCCATACACAGTTAGGGCCCTTTCAGACGCTATGTTCAGCAGGGGATCTGTCAGCAGGTCCCTCGCAGAATCTGAGCTGCTCCTATTAAATTTTAACAGCTGCTGCCTGTCAAAAAACCCAAACATCAGCTGCATCTGATTGGATGCAGCTACTGTTCTACCAAAATGTTTCTCTGGCTCCTATTCTTCAACTGAAGGATTTTGAGTTGGTGGGGGGGTTGGGCAGGGCTGTACAGGGGGAAAAAATGTTGGCCATGAACTGACCAACATTGTTCTCCCTGGGCGGCCCTGTCTCTCCACCCACTTAACATCCTTCAATTAAAGAATAGAAGGAGCCAGATGGAACATCTAAAGCTGGACACATATTTTATAAAAGAATTTAAAGCAGAACTGAATGCAAAAAAAAAATGTGAACAGGCAGGCTTTTAATGCAGAAGAGACATGCAATGTCTCTTCTACAATAAATAAACTGACCTGCCTGTTCACAGTCCTCTGCAGAATGTAAATGGAGCTTCGCATGTGCAGCTCCATTCACATTTTTGACACAATGCCATGTTTTCTGGGATGACTGACTCCCATGCATGTGCAATAGTGACGTCATCCCACCCTGGGCCACTCAAGACCTGGAAGAAGCTGGGGAGAATATGCTAGCACTGGCGTGGGACCTATCAGGCACTGTCAGACCATTGGAGCATAGTGAGTGAGTATTCGTGCCTTTACTTTCCCACTACAAGGGAGAATTTTCAGATTTTCTGGAGTTTAAGTAAGCAATAAAAAAATTAAAGATCAACTTCAGCTAAAAACTTAATGCAAAAACATTCCTAGGTGTCAGAGGATCAAAGGCACCACATCCTAATAACAGTAAATATTTTTAAAGGAAAACAGATATTCAGCTAAAAACTGTTAAGCAGGTTTTTTCCTTTTGAACATTTTTTTTGAACTTCATAAATACTGTACATGTTGACTGCTGTAAGCACCCCTGACATTGTTATACATTATTTCCCAAACCCTGTCATTTTCACTTTTCCTGGACAGTTTAGTTATTGTAAATCTGGAGAATATATCAAAGATATGTTAAAAAATAAAGGCTATGTTCACCTCTAAAGAAAAAAAAAAAAATAATGCACACATTTTAGCAGGAAAAGAAGTGCATTTATCATTTTTTTTCACGGGAGCCTGCAGAGTATTGCACCCACAATCAGTGGATTGTGAGTGCAATGTCAGGCTCCTGCACACACTGGATGCTGCTCTGTTGCCCATACTTCTGTATAGGCTTTCTGTTACAGAGCTGTAGGCTGTGTGAATGAACTATGTGTGTGCTAATCTACACACTCGCGGTCCATTAAGTCTGTCTGCTGCGGTGCAAGATGAGACGTAGTTTTCTCATTTACAGATTACTGTGAATGGATGCATGGCTGTGTGGGTGGAGGAGAGAATCCCCTGACAGATGTCAAAGGGAAGTGGGGAATAAGGGAAGCACATGCAGGGGCCAGGTCTGGAGCATGTTACACCCTACTTACCCACAGTTTCCACAATACAACATTTGCTGCTATTGTAGGCCTTTAATGGCTCCTCATATTGATTATTCAGATTGTATTAGCATACACGTGTGCACTCTTACATCATAATCTAGCAATAATCACATTATATTGAAATGCTTAAACTTTAGGGAACAGCAACATTTTGGGTTTGTGCTACTTTTTCCTCATGCTGACACTTTAATAAAAAGAGCTATTAAAGCATATCTAAATGGAAAAAAATTATTATATTGCAGCGTACCATTATTTAGACATAATGGCTTCATTAGTTTTAGTTTTAGTTATTTGTTTAGTTTTTTTTTTTTTCCCCTTTATTTTCACCTGGTAATCTTGTGAATGCACTTCAGGTCCTAGGGTGACAATGCTCATTCACTCCACGAAATCCGTGAAGGGAGCCATGGTCACCCAGACTGGAATGGAAACACAACTTCCTCTCCATCTCCATTACATAGGGAGTGATGGCAATAGTAATTTTTCAAAAGCAATATAAAATTGTTTGTTCAGCTCATAGAAACTGAAAAGGGCATTGCATTTCTGGCAAAATCAACAGGTATTCTCTGTACCTGCTGAAAATATTTTTAGCTTGAAAAAATAAGATGAATGCAGCCATCACATACAAGGACTGGTAAGATTTATTTAAGATGCAATATATTACATTTGTACTCTTTGGGTTTTATTTTCATATGTGTGTGTGTGTGTGTGTGTGTGTGTGTGTGTGTGTGTGTGTGTGTGTGTGTGTGTGTAAAATATACAGTATACTGTACATAATATAAAGATAACCACTCTTTTACCACAGGTACCACAATAAAGAGCTCTTTGGCCCTTGGCTCCTTCGGCAGATTAACCACAGCCAGTATGAAGGGGTTTATTGGTTGGATGAAGGCCGCACACTCTTCCGCTTGCCATGGAAGCACCTAAGCATAAAAAAGTGTTGATGAAAAGGATTATGCAATATTCAAGGCAGGTAGCAGTATGAGACACCAACATTTTGGCTTTTGCTGAATATCTACAAAATATATGAATACAACTTACATTTAGCTTTTTGTCCACTTGGAAACATTTATCTTTTCGGCCACTTTGAAAAATAAAACATTTTTATGATCACTAATATTGATAAGACAGAACAAGTCCAAAGACGCGTTACAAAAATGTTGAAAGGTCTGGGGGATAGAACATATCAACAATGACTTCAGGAACTTAACATGTACAGTCTGGAGGAAAGAAGGGAAAGGGGAGATATGATTAAAACCTTTAAATACATCAAGGGGATGAATAAGGTTTCAGAAAAACAAACAGTGGGCACACCGACCTAGTGCATTACCCTAAAAGTATGTTTAATGAATGCGAATTGGACAGAGCTGTTCCTTTATGATGTGCCTTTTATTTATTGACTATTTGTGAGTACAATACCTATTTTAAACATACTTTTAAGGTAATGCACTAGGCCGGTGCGCCCTCTGTTTGTTTTTCTCTATCCAGTATATTTGGACTCCCCCGGTCCTTTGAGGGCAGCAAGGCGTGCATATCCCAAGAATTTTGTCATGTGGTCCTAATGACATTGAGTCAATCCCTAAGCGCAGGAGTAACCGGGTTTTCCACTTCTGCACTGGTGAATAAGGTTCAGGAGGGCAGTATTTTCAACATGATACCAAAATCAAGAACATGGCGGCATGACCTTAAACTATGGTAACTGGAGGAAAGTTCAAAACTAATCTCAGAAAGTATTTTACTGAGAGTAGTCGATGCTTGGAATAAACTTCCAGCAGAGGTAGTGAACCAGTCACCAGCAGCTTCACACATGACTGGGACAAGCATAGATCTATCCTCAGACAAAAAACGTTAGCAAACAAAACAAAAAAACACCACCTCCCCCCCCCCCCCCAAAAAAAAAAAAAAACGGGCAGACTCGATGGCCACTCGGTTGTTTTCTGCTGTCACTTCTCTATGTGTTGCCAATCGTGTTTCTATGTTTTACCAAATACACTTCCAGGTTTGTGGAGAAATGCATCCCTCACTAGCCACTGTATATTCATCTCTGACCCCTATGGCACTAATGTGTCTGGCGATGACTAGGGGTCAGCAGGAGGATTTGCAGTAGCCAGCAGAGGGAACCACTATTTGACCAGACTGGGTTGTCAAATTAGATCAGAGCCAGAAGTTCTGCTACAGAGTGAGGTTGGGCCAATGGACAGGTATGTATAAAACTGCTGTGTTCATAGGATAACACTTTATGATTTTGTTGATCTTCACACAGGGTCAGTCTAGTCTAAGATACACAGGTTCATTCTTGGTGGCATTCTTTTAATAACCCTCATTTTTTTCCGCTTTACAGGCATGGGCAATTCAGAGTGGGAAATATAATCCACTATGCGAGGACCTACCTACTTATAAAACCAACTTTCGCTGTGCATTAGACACTGTCCAATCCAGGGAAAGAGAAAAATGTTCACCAAAGTTAAAGATAATTCACGCGACGATCAAGATCCCCATAAGATATTCAGGTTCAATGGTGTCCATGATGATTATTCCACATCTGTAGATCCTCCTGCTGTATCTCATTCAGGCACTGAAGGTATGTTTGCTTTCTAAGCTGTACATTTTATACATTTTCAGGGTCTCATTGTTATATACAGTATGTATTATATGGTTTCTAGATAGTATAGAAAACATGAGGAACAGAATACTAGTCCAAAAAAATATAATAAGCTACTGCATACTCAGAAGTAATCCATACAACATATTCTTCACTGAGGCCAAATATGGCCATGGCAGAATGTCCATATATTACATTCAAGGGGGCGTGCTTATAAATCAGCAAATCTTACATTTACCTAACATTCACTGCAGGTGAATCTTCCTAGTACTGGTGTGGGCAACTGTGGCCCTCCAGCTGTTGGTGAAATACAAGTCCCATCATGCCTCTGCCTTTGGGAGTCATGCTTGTAACTGTCAGGTTTACAATGCCTCATGGGACTTGTAGTGCTACAGTTGCCCACTCCTGTCCTAGTGCATATATTTTAAATACTGTGATTACCAATGAATGTTTGCTGAAAGTCTTGTTCCTTTTGTATTTTTTTTTGTTGGTGCCTTTAAAGTCCCCTTTATTTGCTTCCCTGTTATTACTTATTGTACTTTGGGATGTGGCACCTAGTTTGATCAGAGTGGGTTTTCTTAAATTAGAAGGTCCATTCTATAGGGGGCAGGTGCCAACACAACCTAATCACGCACAACACAGGGGCATCTAGCTAATAATGAGGAGACAGACTGTCGTTCAAAACAGTGCTTGATCTACTTTTCAGGCAGAGCTGAGCGTTTTGTCCCCATAGACTTAAATGGAGACCGCCTGAACAGTGGGAATGAGTGTGGTGTTTTTTTGTTTTTTTTTTTCTCAGGCATTTTCAAACATCAGCTACTTCTATTTCTATTGGTCACAGTAGGAAAAACACCTGAAAAAATGCCTATATTTGCAAATCTGCAAATATCAAATAAAACACGCTTTTTTTTTTTTTTTCTTTTTATAGAGAAAAAAATTAAAAATGCACAGGCGATCCAATATCACCGTAAGAAAGCTCAATTCATGGGGAAAAAAGGATGTAAATTTAATTTGGGTGCAGCGTTGCATAAGTGTACAATTATCAGTTAAAGTAATGCACCGCCGTAACACAAAAAATGGCCTGGTCAGGAAGGGGGGGTACATCCTCAGGAGGGCAAGTAGTTAAGCAATGGTATCAGTTTTGGTTCTTTGGTTTATGCAGGCCATAGATGGGGAGAAAAACGGCAGATTTTTCTTTTAAAAAACGAAAAATCGGTCGTTCAAGTGGCCGACGTTACCATCAATGGTAAAAAAAATCAGCCGATTTTCATCCCGTCTAGAGCCGGCAAAAAGTGTCCCTGCAGAGAGCTCTGCTATTTCTTTGACAGTTCTCTGACAGTTCCTTGACATTTATAGAGGTTGCAACAATGTATCTATTTGTTTCCATTTAGGATACAGATGTTTTTATTCGGAAACAAATAGATACAATGTTGCAACCGCTGTAAATGTCAAGGAACTGTCAGAGAACTGTCAAAGAAATAGCGGAGCTCTCTGTAGAGACACTTTTTGCTGGACTGGAATTCCTCTTATTTTCATCCTACTTCTTCTTCATCCTCATCCTCTTCTTCTTCTTTTTCTTCTTCATCCTCATCCTCTTCTTCTTCTTCTTCTTCATCCTCTTCTTCTTCATCATCCTCATCCTCTTCTTCTTCCTCATCCTCTTCTTCTTCTTCATCCTCTTCTTCTTCTTCTTCATCCTCATCTTCTTCTTCTTCATCCTCATCTTCTTCTTCTTCATCCTCATCCTCTTCTTCTTCTTCTTCATCCTCATCCTTCTTCTTCTTCTTTTTTCTTCTTCTTCTTCTTCATCCTTCTTCTTCTTCTTCATCCTCATCCTCTTTTTCATCCTCATCCTCTTCTTCATCCTCATCTTCTTCTTCATCATCCTCATCCTCTTCTTCTTCCTCATCCTCTTCTTCTTCTTCTTCTTCCTCATCCTCATCCTCTTCTTCTTCTTCTTCTTCTTCTTCTTCTTCTTCCTCATCCTCATCCTCTTCTTCTTCTTCTTCATCATCCTCATCCTCTTCTTCTTCTCTCCTCTTCTTCTTCTTCTTCTTCATCCTCATCCTCATCCTCTTCTTCTTCTTCTTCCTCATCCTCATCCTCTTCTTCTTCCTCATCCTCATCCTCTTCTTCATCCTCATCCTCTTCTTCTTCTCCTTCTTCTTCATCCTCATCCTCTTCTTCTTCTTCATCCTCATCTTCTTCTTCATCCTCATCTTCTTCTTCCTCATCATCATCCTCTTCTTCTTCTCTTTTGTCTTCTTCATCCTCATCCTCTTCTTCTTCATCCTCATCCTCTTCTTCTTCATCCTCATCCTCCTTCTTCTTCTTCTTCTTCTTCATTCTCTTCTTCTTCCTCTTCCTCTTCTTCTTTTTCTTCTTTTTGTCTTCCTCTTGCAGGTCACTGCTCATGCGCAGATTTTTTATCGGTAAAAAATCGGCCGATTTGCCCACTAATTGCCGCGAAAATCGGCCGATCGGCAAAATCGGCCGATTTTTTTCCAACTTTACCGAAAAAAAAAAAAACGGCCAAAATACCGAAAAACGGCCGACCAAATCGCCCACTAACGATCCGAAAATCGGCCGATTTTATTTTCGGCCCGAAAAATCGGCCGATTTTCGACCCATCTATGGCCTGCATTAGATACACTAGTAAACACACCTTTTTAAAATTGTTTGCTTTATGTACACTCCTTCCTGTTATTTGACATTATTAAATTGATTTTTCATTTAACAATATATACTTTACTACTTACAAGATTCTAATAGCCTACTGTATATACATACACATTTTCTATCTAAATGTGCATATGGTTTTTTTTTTTTTTTTTTAACAGCTGAAAATTTTCACAATGAGATGCATGATGAAGACTATAGACTGCGTATCAGCCCAGATGTTGAGCGTTCCACCCCATTTATCAACATTCAAGGATCGGTAAGTTCTGGACAAACTCAATACAGTGGATGCAATAAAAAGCTCACTGCTTACCTTTGATGCAGAAAATCTTCACCTGCATCTTACAGGTAAATTCCTAGATATTTACTTGCCAGGGAATTTGTAACCCTGTTCTCACAGTATTGCGATCCTGCAGTGTCTCCTGTCAAACTGTACAGCCAGATTCCTATATCCACTTCAGCAACACAGTTTGATCAAGAATACAACAGAGCTCCTAATTGGACAGTGAAGGAGCAGCAGCAACCGTATTGGACTTTATTTTGCTCACTCTGCTCTCTCCTCCTATCTGTGTGTTCTGTGTCACGTGTGACATACAGCAGCGTTTTTCAACCACTGTGCCGCGGCACACTAGTGTGCCGTGAGATATTGTCTGGTGTGCCGTGGGAAAAATTGCAATTTCATCCGTAACATGTGGCCTCGGCTCACAAATAGACCAATCATTAGAACAGCAATGGGCAAACTACGGCCCGCGGACTGTATACGGCCCGGCGGACCTTTTAATCCGGCCCGCGGAGCGTGATACTGTCAGGATGATCTGTCCCCCTCGACGTATCTGTGCATGTGCCGGAGATCGCCGATCGGCTGCTAATGCCTGAAACTGGCACATGCGCAGATACGTCGAGGGGGACAGATCCTCATAGGAGACAGATTTTCATGCTACACCGGAACGGCGAGAGGAACGCGCGGAGCAAAGGTAAGTGAATTGACACAGGGGGGGCTTGGGGACTTAATATGGGGGATGAATTAATATGGGGGATGAATTACAATATGGGGGATGAATTACTATATGGGGGATGAATTACTATAGGGGGGATGAATTACTATAGGGGGGATGAATTACTATAGGGGGGATGAATTACTATAGGGGGGATGAATTACTATATGGGGGATGAATTACTATATGGGGGATGAATTACTATGGGGGATGAATTACTATGGGGGATGAATTACTATATGGGGGATGAATTACTATGGGGGATGAATTACTATATGGGGGATGAATTACTATGGGGGATGAATTACTATATGGGGGATGAATTACTATATGGGGGATGAATTACTATGGGGGATGAATTACTATGGGGGATGAATTACTATGGGGGATGAATTACTATATGGGGGATGAATTACTATGGGGGATGAATTACTATATGGGGGATGAATTACTATGGGGGATGAATTACTATATGGGGGATTAATTACTATGCTTACTATGGGGAATATTACTATACTTACTATGGATGACACATACACATCATTCATCTACTCTTGGTCCGGCCCCCAGGTCCAATATATGAACCCTCAAGTCAAAACGTTTTTCAATAAATTTTTTTAACATTTTCTAATGGTGGTGTGCCTCGTGATTTTTTTCATGAAAAAAGTGTGCCTTTGCACAAAAAAGGTTGAAAAACACTGACATACAGTATGCACTACAGTAGAGCAGTGACTTGGAGTTCTGACTCTGCTGTACAGGAGATTGCAAAATCCTGATATTATTATTATTATTATTATTATTATACAGTATTTATAAAGCGCCAGTAGTTCACTCAGCGCTGTACATTACAAAGGGGGACAGAACATGTGACAGAACAATACCAATACAATGCAAAACATGAGGGGATCGAGGGCCCTGCTCTTTCGAGCTTACAATCTAGAAGGGACGGGATAGTGGTACAGGAGGAGATAGCTGTGGGGGATGGAGTGGTAGGAAGAGTGGAGGAGGTCGGTCAAGTTAGCAGGGGGTAGGCTTCCCTGAAGAGATGGGTTTTCAGGGTGCGCCTAAAGGAGAGGAGAGTAGGTGATAATCTGATGGGTTGGGGAAGGGAGTTCCAGAGGATGGGTGACACCCTGGAGAAGTCCTGGAGGCGGGCATGGGAGGAGGAGACCAGGGAACTAGAGAGAAGGAGGTCTTGTGAGGAGCGGAGTGTGCGTGCTGGGTGGTACTTGGATATTAGGTCAGTGATGTAGTACGGGGCAGTATGGTGGACAGCTTTGTACGTCAGCGTTAGGATTTTGAATTTGATCCGTTGCGCAATCGGAAGCCAGTGGAGGGATTGGCAGAGGGTGGTGGCGGAAACGGAGCAGTTGGAAAGGTGAATGAGTCTGTCAGCCGTATTCAGGATCGACTGAAGCGGGGATAGCCAGCGGCAAGGCAGGCCAGTGAGGAGGGAGTTGCAGTAGTCGAGTCGTGATATGATGAGGGAGTGGATAAGCTGTTTAGTGGTTTCTGGGGTTAGGAACGTGCGGATGATATCATTTAATCCAGTTGCATTAAAAAATACATATTTAAACTAATTAGTTATATTGTGTTTATCTGCATGAAGTTTAGTGTTTAATATTGTATATATCTTTTTTTGTTGTAGGCGGACATTGAACAACGGCTTCGTAATGTTTTTTTGGACTCAAATGACAATGGTAAGAAATGTTAATTTGTAGTTCAGAAAATTATTTTTAATGCTATAATCAGACTTCTAAACTTTCTGAAATTATAGCAAGGGACATCTTTTAGTACACAGTACTAAAAGTAAAAAAAAGACACATCTCTGTCACAGCTACAGTTACAGTCCACAAAGATCTAATATGCAGAAAATGACTGGCTAAACCACAAAATTCCTCTTATGACCTCTAATTTTACTTTATATTGGTATATCACCCTCCTAGGAAGTCTAGGGGGAGCTAGTTGATTATTTTTTAAGTTAGAGGCTGCGTAACAGCCTGTGCAATAGTCAGTGGGTCGCATCTGGGTCAGGGCTGTCAGGCTCTGCAGATCAGCTCTCTGAGACCCCCCCGATCTAGAGACTTGGAGAAGTCTCTAGAACTCAATGGGCAGAGGTGAGGAGGAACTGGTCTGTAATCTTTAGGGATTCTGGCCAATTCCCAAGTAGGAGGTTTGGCATGGGGCCAGGACAGCCCTTAAGAGTGTCTGAGCCTGCTCAGTAGCGGGAGAGTTTGGGTGGAAGATGTGAGAGCAGGACCTGGAGTGTGGAGCCTAGGAGGAACCAAGGAAAAGGGCCTACCTCCAGGAGAGTTGCTGACAGAAGGAAAGCTGGACCTCGCCGGCCCCTTAAATGGACCATCTGTGGAGCTAAGGAAGTAGCTAGCCCAGCAGAAGGCCTGAAAGCAGCTACTGACCTGCACCCTACAGAAGAGGGACAGTGAGTAATTCTACACCCCCTAGACCGGGAATAAGGGAAAGGGCATTTGGGTGGGAAACCTGACTAGCCCCAGCTGTTCTGTGCTTTTTACAGAGTCAGACTCTAGATCCCGTTGTCCAGGGAGGCTGGATAGCTCTCCAAGAAGAGAGAACCTTTCTGAGCCCTTGTAAATAGCTTCAGGAAGTTGTGTTTAGTGAAGCACTTCCTTGGGAATCCCATGTATCCCTCATCCCCATCCAAGTTCAAATCCCCTAATAAAATCTAAAAAAAAAAAAGTTCAAAGACTGTTTACTGTCTCTGGAGTGCAAGGCTGGAAGGAAATTTGTGTTGCCTGGCTGTGCAAGACTATAGGGGGACCCGAATCTTCAGCAAATCCTAAGGGGATAATGCTACATTTGCTTTTCCAAACAAATGCAGTAAGATAGGGGTTGGATAGAAAGTTTAGTGCAGCAACACTTTTAGTAGTACAATAGTACATTTTGTATAGAGATGAACACATTAGACCAAAAAGGACAACTGAGGCTTCACGAGGGACAGAGGGATTTGGTTGCCAAAAAGAGAAACACGAGACCAAAGTATACCTTTAATAACATATATGGCAGCCAAAGGGGTAATCTTTTGTCCTTTATTTTAAGACCTTATCTCAGAAATATAATTGTATCAACGGAGAAGCTATAGTGATCAACAAAAAGAAATGCACAAATATTAGCAAAATGCCTTCTCCACTGGCTTCCTAAATGCATCACAAATCTTCCTGTCTTTTTAGGTGCACAGCAAGTGTTACAAATCCCTCAGGATGACTATTCACACAATATACCAAGGGTGGATCAGGTTTTCAGAGATCCTGTATATGACCCAAATTTAGCTTTGGCAGAGCCATATAATAATGGATATGAACAACCCTTGTCAAGGAACCACAGTCAATTCTTTCGTGATCAATGTGAGTAATTATAGTGGCCTGTCCAAAGTCAGAAGCATATAGTGTGATGGTACTTTTTGTTTATGGCAGAATATATAGTACCACTGCATAAATCTGTACCAGTGGTGAAGCTAGACATTCACCCGGGGAAAGATTCATCTCCCACCCCCACAAAGACAGTGGAGTCAGCAGGGCTGGAACACCGCACATTCATGATCTCTACACTTTGTACACCACTCCTGATCTGTCACACTTCATATTCAGTTACAGCAAACAGTTTTCACCTTTTGGGATTAAGGTTTTACATACGTAAATAAAATCTAGTCATTGTAAGCACCCCTGTCAGTGGTAAATAGTTTTGTCTCAGCGCTTTAACAGCTAAATCTGCAGGGCAGCTTGTTCTTTTGAAAAACTTACTAGCTGGATCACCAGATGAAAATAAAGGAAAGAAAGCCTAAAACAAAACGAATGCAGCCATGACATCTAAGAATTGGTAAGTTGCAAAATAATGTTTGCTTTTGAGTTTAATACTGTTTTAAACTCTATCAACCATGCTCCTTCAAGACTCCTCAAGGATCAGGAGTGGCAGAGTACAGAGCAGGGGCGGACTGACAACTCATGGGGCCCCGGGCAATAGGGGATCATGGGGCCCATGGGTCCCTTCCCAAACTCAAAAAAGCCTATGAAAAAGGTACCAGGGGCATCTCATGGGGCCCCCTACTGACCCCCCCCGGGCCCTCGGGCAGTGCCTGAGTTTCCAAATGGTCACTCCGCCCCTGGTACAGAGTACAGTATTCAGGAGTGATTGTGTACAAAACGCAGACTCTAATGTAAGGGTGATCTCTGTGAATTGTGCTATAAGGGGGGCCTCTGATGTGAGGGGTTCTCTGGTTACCACAGAGACTTGCATCAGAGTTCTCTTTTACCCCAGAGTTTGTAGAGTTCCCCTTTAAATCCGTGTTCCAGACAATAAGTATTTCTAGAGAGGGGGCAGGTCGGCCATGGCAGCCCCCTCACAGAACATAGTCTTTTACCTTATAAGACCAGCAAGCTGTGCCCCTCCCCCAGTATGTGTGAGCAATGCCCTCCCATTCATGGGACTACAAATCCCAGCAGCGCTGTCACTTTCCAGTAGCAGAGGTGCAGAAATTAAGTTATTGCACATTCTGCCAGATAAAAAAAACTCTGGGGTGTGCCTGGGCATTAGGGTGTGAATAGATGAGCTGGACCAGAGAGGAGGGAGAGATTGTAGGTCGGTGTAGTGGCAGCAGAGAGAGATCAGGAACCTGTCAAATGGTGAGGAACCAACATGTGAGGGAGTGGAGGTTGCAGCGGCGCCCTTCTCAGTGTTGCGTTCAGGCACATGATCCCCCCCCCCAGTTTTGTCCCTGTAAACCACCACATGCATTTATACAAATAAATACAAGGCAGCGGTCCTCAAATTTTGACCCGCAAAGTAGCAGGAGTTGGGTAAAGTGATTTTCTCCCTGATGGTGACTGTGTAATTTGGGTCATGATACCTACAGGAACGGACCTCGAACCTGAACACAGATAACTGCCACAAAACATCATTGCTTGGGGAAGGGTGGGGTCTCTCTTCCTCTAACACATGGGCCATATTCCTCCCACTGACAGAAGGGCCCTATTCCTTCCTCTGATGCACTTATTTTTACTCTTACTGACCACTGGCATAGTTTCATGTTTTACTTTTAAGATAGCAAGGGCATTTTTTTCCTTTACTGATGTAGAGGCATTTTTTTTATTCCCACTGACTTGGGGGCATTTTTACTTCCATAAAGGCAGGGGGTTGTTACCCCAATAACAGCTGATGTAGGGTAATTTTTTACTTCTACTGACATAAGGGCATTTTTTACTTCATTGACCATTGATGGTAAAAGCATTTTTTATACCTGATGACCCCAGTCTGGCCTTCAGACAGTGTTATGAACAATGAATTGACCCATTGTGTAAAAAGATTTGGGATAGTTGATGTAAGGTAAGCATATACATAAAGTGTATCTAGAGGTGCCGTAGCATGAAGCAGAAAAAACTGACACCTGACCACTGCAACTCGGGGTAGATGGTTCTGGCAGTGCAGTCCTCTTCAGATCGGGGAATCTTGCACTGCGTAAACTAAAAAACCCAAAAGGGCATAAACGCCTAGTGCATTGTCAACAGCATTTTATTAAAAGGTGAAAGATACAAATTATACTCAAATACTAAAGTGGATTAGTAGCGTATCACAAATGCAGAAAATTTGTTTTTCTGCTTTGAGGAAGGGGCTGGTCCCCCCAAGTGCATCAGCTAGTATGGTCCTATGAGGATAGATGACAAACGTCTAGTTTCTGCTTTTGTGATACGCTACTAATCCACTTTGGGTTGTGAGTACAATTTCAATCTTTCACATTTTAATAAAGTGCTGTTGATAATGCACTAGGCGGTTGCATCCTTCATCTGCCTTTTGAGCCTCCTTATTGGTCTATCACTTTAGAGGGTGGTTAGAATGGCCAATAGGAAAGTATGGGAGTGGGTTAGTTAGTCACATTTCCAGGATGTTTGTAGGTTAGAGCACCCTTAAGCTTTGTTTATCTAACGGGCTGAATGAAAAAAAGCCTCATTTTCCCACATCCACACAAGTGATATGGGTGCAGGGTTCTCCCCCACTGGCCTATTGTATCCTGACAACGGGGACTCCCACACTGCTGATCAAATGCTGGTTTTCCAAGAGGACCATTCAACTGAAACCAGTCTAACAACTGGCTTATGTTGAACAGAGGGCTACATACAGATAAAAATTAATGCGGTGCCCGCTGAACACAATTAATTTCCTTATGTGTGTACCCAGATTTACTTGTCAGATTCTTGCTGCATTCTTGTACACTTCTGAAAGCTAATCTGAATTTTTCCCATGCAGAGAAACAAGATTTTTGTAATATCCCCTACCCTTTCCCTAGTAACACGCATCCCTCTTTACCTTGCTTCCCCATCATTCCGTTCAGGCACTGGGAACAAAATAAATACTTGGGTATACTTGGTACAACAAGCGAAGTCCCCCTGCATGCCAAGACACTGCAATACATAAAAAAACTTGTACGGAAAAAATGTATTAAATATACTGACATTACCTCCAGCCTCTGTACTGCAGGATGTGCTGTCACACTCCTTCTGAAGCTAGGGATTGTTGAGTCCAAATCTCACTAGATGTACCAGCACAGTACAGGAGCACCTTCTCATGAAATTTGGGCTACACAGCAAGAAGTGTGGCTCCACGTTCAGCCACGTTGTATGTGGTAGCCTGGGGTAAGAGAAGTATATTTTATTCCATTTTTCGCTGTAAGGTTTTTTATGTATTGCAGTGTTTTTCCGTGAGTAAAGGAGGGGGGGGCAATATAAATAAGCAAACCTTGTGTTTTCAATGCAGATTTCCCATGCATGAAATCTTTTTTAAAAACAGGTAAATTCTAGGAGTATTTCATAATCGAAGACCCCTCTTAATAATAACTGTGAAATATATACAAATTGTAAAAGGTGTAGCAAGACACTTGTTTTGATATGGGGCTTTTCTTTAACCCCTACACAGTGGCCTCCAAACTGAGGCCCTTTGCTTGCCTTTATCTGGCATTTGGGGCACCATTCCTACCATTGATACGAGGCACTATTTCTCCTATTGACATCAACTATGAAGCACCATGTCTTCAACTGACCAACAGTGGGGTACTATTCCTCCCTTTGACACCAATGATCAGACACTATTTTACTTTTTCTTTACTCCCACTGACACCAGGACATTTTCTACTCCCACTGGCCATAGTCTGGCCCTCCAAACTTTCTAAATAAAGGGCCAGTTTGTTGTCCTGTAGAGTTTGGAGACCCCTGCCCTACATTATCCAGACTTGTTTCCTTGTTGTGGCCTAATTATTGTGAAGTTGTAGTGCATTCAACTAGATACAAAATTGTGTGGTCAGTGAGAAAATTCCTATGTTAAAGGTTATACATTAGGAAAGGTTTCTTTTGCAGAAAATTAACACTAATTATTCTCACTGTAGATTTACAATCTCTAGAATATGACATGTATGAGAATGGACATTTTGAGAGTCTTGCAGAAGTTGACTCGGTCTTCCAACAAACATCTGCTTGTCCCCAACTGCAGCCAGCACCACCAGTGAGCACCCTTCTGGAAACTGTATTTGATGTAGTGCAAACACGCCCACGTGTATTCTATCAAGAAAGTGAGTAACATATTTGTGGCTGATTACTGCTGACCTCTTTTGTATTAGCAAAGAATTGGACAAAATGTTCCATCCATTCATTGTACACTAACAATTGATTTTCCCAGCAGTTTCCTTTACCCGCTATGTACTAGTAAAACTTTCTGCACCAGAAATTCTCACTCTATGAACCTATCATGGTCTTTATAAAGGGAGGTTCTCTTTTCCATTAGATGCCACCCTCCCATATCTTATGTTTTTAAAGTTTTAAAGAGGCACTGAAGACTGGAAACTGTATTTTAAGGAAAGGTAGGCAGAGTGCAAAGGACTAGTCACCATTATTGCCTGTGGTCTCCCTGCAGCTCATCTTCCACCATTACTGACTTGCCATGCCTTGTTCTGCATAGTCTGCGTGGAGTCTGCCATCTTGGTGGAGGCAGAATGCAAAGTCTTCAAAGTGGTTACCTAGATAACGGTTTGTTGGTGGCACAGTATACAATAAATGATCACTACTTTGAGTAATGTTGTTGCAGAATAATATAACATGGCCACATAAGACATTTCAGCAGCTGCAGCATAAATACAGGCCAGTAGCCAAAGAGACCACTTTATTGTACTTTCTGCTGTAAGTACATGGCAATCTTTGAGAGCATGTAGTCTTATGTGGTAGTCACTTGAGTATTTGGGTTATTTTGGTGTTTTAAATTGCATTGATGTGTGGCACCCCACATCCCTGTAATTATGATAGTGTGAAGTTACACATGGCATGCTTTATTTTGACAGGTACACAGCATATGACGAAGAATGAAGCCACTACCCATTCCCCTAATTATGCCGGTAAAATTAATGGGGAAAAGAGTGCAATGCTGTCCCTCACAGAATAATGCTCCTTCCACATTTAATGAGCAAGAAACTGCTTCTCAAGTAACTGCGGTTACCTTGATTCATCAAGAAAGTGAGTATAGATCTAAAGAGAAATTGTCTCTTTTTACTTTGTTCTAAGTCTCACTCACAGTTCACATCTAAAGTGCCATGTCAAGGGTTAGTCTGCCTATTTATTTCTGGAGGTGGAAGGAATACAGCAATGTTGTCCAGCCAAGGCCATGACCATTTTGCCAGAATGCACATAGGCTCACTATTACAAGAAAGGAACCATCAGTGATTGCATGTAAAGAACATCACTGCTTTTTTTTTTGTCTCAAAATATTAGCACAACTCTCAGCAACTGCACATTCTTTAGACTCTCAGAAGTTTCTACATGTTCAGAAGTTCTACTTTACCCCTTCTAGCACACATCCTCTTTCCCCTCAAATTTTCCACCCTAGCACAAATCCTCCTAAATCCCTCTTCCTAGCACAACCCCCTCCAAGTTACCCTTCCCAGAACAAATCCTTCCTCCCCACCCAAATCCGTGCTCCTAACACAAATCTAACTCCTAGTACAACCCCACCCAATCCCCCCTCCCTTTTTCCTTGCACAAATTCCCCCAATCTCCTCTCCTAGCACTAATTCCCCCCCAAGCCCACTTCCTAAAACAAATCCCCCTCAATCCCCTCTCCTAGCACAAATCCCCCCTCCCAGCACCAATCCTCTTCCTGCAATCCCCCCAACCCCTCCTAGCTAAAACCCCTCCATATTACCCTTCCCAGCACATATCCTCCCAACTTACCCATATCACCCCCCCCCCCCCCCCTTTTTAGCACAAATCATCCCCACTATCCTTCCCACCACAAGTAGCCACTATCCCTTCTGCACAAACCTCTCATATCAGCGCAAATGATTGTTACCCCCTTCTTCATTGCTTACAACATTTCCTTCGGCCTGTAAACCCCTCCCCCCCCACGGTAAAACCAGGTAGAGGTGCAGGTTGTGTTGTGCTCTCATTCCTGTCAGTGGAGCAATCCTCCCTCCATATAGCAGATGACACAGGATCACTCTTGGATTGGGCTGTGCACAGTTTGATTACCTCAAACCCTATCTCCTCCAACGACTGCTTATCTCTCGGCAGCAGGGAGCCGAGGAATGAATCTGATATGGAACATGCCGATGTAAGAGCGATTCTGTGTCATCTGCCTTATGGAAGGTCGCTCCACTAACAGGAGAGGAGAGCACAGCCCGCACCTCTCAGCTGTCTCCTGTCATTTCTCCTTTGCAAGCTTCACTGCTCGAGGCTGCTCTCCCATTGTCCCAGTCGTGAGTGCGGGGATGAGGGAAGGCACTCAGCGGCCATGGAAAAACTGGCCTGGAGGGGAAGGGGGCATAGCCCACCCCAACACCCCTTAGATCCAGCCATGGTGGAGAGTAGGGAAACCAGCGGCCATATCTGCGCCCTAGGCAGCAGTGCGCCCTGGGTGACTGCCTAGTTTGTCTAGTGGTAGCACCAACCCTTGTGCTAAACTAAAAAAAAAAAAAAAATTCTGTTAAAGCATGGGCTGAACCTAATTCAATAACAGCATCTTAGGCATACAACAAGTAAGTAGGGCTATGAGATTTCAGAACAGAGGAAATCTTCTACCTTCAAACAATTAGGGTATATTCAAATTGGGAAAGGAAAGTGAACAAGGTGCAAATGTAATTGCAGTTTTTCTTTGAGAACTACCTAGATCTCTGAGCTGATCAAGGGGCCTACTTCACTGGTTCAGCAGTGCCCCAATGCAATTGCCAAGCCATCTGATAGTTGTCCTGCACCTACTTTGGGCAGTTTCTGTTCTAAATGTCTCTTGGAGAGCAGGGTGATCTGATGTTTCCTAAAGAGTATCAGTAGTTTTTTAATATTATTAGAAACCAGAGTTTTCTTATCACCTTACCTTAAGTAATTTAATGATCACCTGCTAGGCCTGCATATTAAGTGACATTTTATAGTGTACTACTGCCTGACTAAGTATTGATTCTGCTATTATTATTCTAATTATTATTATTATACAGGCTTTATATAGCGCCAACAGTTTGCACAGCGCTTTACAAAATGAAGGTAGACATTGCAGTTATAATACAATTTGGTACAAGAGGAAACAGAGGTCCCTGCTCGTTAGAGCTTACTATTCTAAGAGGAAGGGTTGAGTGATACAAAAGGTAATAGCTGTTGGGGTGAGCTGATGGAGGAAATAAAAAGCAGTTTACTACTTAGAAGCAGAATAGGCTTCTTTAAAGAGAGGTTTTCAGGGATCGTCTAAAGGTGCTATAATTGTTAGGTGTCAGGGATGCAGATATCTACACTACTGGCAGCCCTGAGCAACAGGATCCAGCTTTAAGATTATTCTAGACAAAGGCATATAGGAGTGTCTACCATCTGATAGCAATTGAATAAATGCTGTACGTATAGCACGTGTTCACATCTTGAACTGCATATGTGACTGTATATTCTATTACAGGTAAGATGCCAAAACTTACATCTTGGGAAGTGACTGTGTTATATCGAGGAAAAGAGGTTCACAAGCAAAATGTATCAACAAAGTTTTATATTAACCATATAGGTTGCGTTCCTCAAATTGAGGTTGCAGATATTGTCACCTTCCCTCCTACTAGTGACCATCTGGTGGACCAGGTACAGATCCATTATACTGACAAAATTCTAAATTCTGTTGGAAATGGACTTTTACTTGAGGTTAATCCTCAGGATTTCAAGTTGTATGCCACAAGAATGGGCAACTCAAGAGTGTACTGGGCCATGTCAGAGAGCCTGGAAACCAAGAAGAATGTTTCAGATGAGAAGAAGTTGCATAGAGATGTTCAAACAGAAATATTTGATTTCAACCAGTTTATGCAAGGTATGATCAAGACAAGCTAGAGAATTGTGTATATTTTTGGTTAAAAACTATAGAATGAATGCATTCAATTCAACTGCAAATCATCACTCAGGATGAGTTTACAGATGCACAGACTGTCAGGATTAATTAAATATTTAAACTCCTCTGACTCCCTATAGACTAGTTATATATTTTCTATACAGACAGATGGCTGTTTTAACAGCTCTTTAGCCTACGTTATGACATATCCTGAAATGACATCTCACTTCCCCACAAATATTCAACATGTTTGCGGTCAGTGGCTTCTGTATTGCTCTGCATTTTTTATACATGACAAACGATATGGCATTGTATCACCCCCTAACAATAAAATATAAAATATGATGCATCCCCACCATGTCCCTGCATAAATGCACGTTTTTCGCTTCACCGTTATGTTCAGTTAGTGTGTTCCTATGCAATTTTCTTCTATATTATTGCAATGTTCCAGTCTACTCCACATGCTGCACATTTGCCCTGCCTATCCTTCCTTCCCACAACATACTCCACCTAAAGGAGCCATCTGTTAACTCAGATATGGTACCAGTACATGGTAGCATGCAGAGCACTGTGAGAGTGGTGATCTGGAGAGGTGTGCCATGTGCTTCATAGGGACAAAGTGCTCTACCTGGCCAGTGATCTTGGAAAATGTGCCATGTGTCTTAGTGTCTGGGCCTGATCCGAATAGGAGACAAGAACAGGTTGGAAATATACAAGTGCCAAACTCTGAAATATCAAATGACTGGCTTGTGTTCATTTGCCTATGTAGGGATAACACTTACACAATTAATCACTTTTATTACCCCAAACTATATCTAAATCTAAACTGTTTTTTTGTTTTGGATAGAGCAGAAAAGGGTTAAAGTCTCTGCCACTGTTTTGAAATTTTTGTTCCATGGGGACATTTCCCTTCACTGCCTTTTCTTAGACACATCAGGAAGCAAAAGGAAATGGCTTTAAAGTGAGAATCTTCTCCAAGACATTTGTCACTGTAACAAGTTTCCCAGACTTTCCCTCTATTCCATTTTAAAATTCCTCTTACCGTCAGGTCAAGGGACAGTGATCATCAGGACAAATAGTAAGAGGCACACAGACAGCAGTAGAATTCAAATAAATGTATTAAAAGTAGACCACTCACAATGATGTGGGAATACACCATATACTATAAAATGAGGAACAAATAATAAAATCAACAGAGTGACTGAACTCGTCATAGCAGTTAAAAAACTAAAAATATACCTATAAAAGTTTGTCAGTCGCCATGGCTCAGACAACAAAATAATATTAAAAAGACTGTTTCATAAACCCCTAAAAAATATACACATACTCATATTTAAGACACTATTTCATCATAAAGTTTGGCCAACCAAATATATACAATGTGTATCACTGTATTATACTAGCATATCAAGAAATTTTTGTGAACCATTTTAAATGAGTCAATCTAAAACTATTATATATAAATGTTGTTATCGATTATCCACAAACACAAGCAACTAAAGTTTTGGCTTTAGATGCACTTTAAGCAACATACGTGTAATGTACAGACAGAAGCTGAGTAAGTGAGAAACAAGCTTGAGGTTGAAACAGGCCAAGGCCAGAACAAGCTGGTCACAAGACATCATCATAGGTTAAATCACCAAAATATGCACATTCTCTGACCATCATAAACACCATAAATAATTTTCTTTTAACAGAACTGAATGACTACAAGGATCATAAGAGACCATCACCAGACTACACTTTATACCTGTCCTTTGGCCAATGTCTGTTTCAGCCAATAAAGAAAGCACTGGTATTGGTAAAGGTAGGTGTTATTTTCTGTTAAAGTAGAATTCAGTGCAAAACCCAACTAGTCTTAAAAATGTTCCTTCCCTCCTGCTAACACCTATTCCAATAACCTGTGTAAGAAAGATCTGTAAATTTACCGGTTTCAGGCTCCTCCAGTCCAGTCATGTGATCTAATGCCCTCTTTCAGCCAGCAGAAGCTGCAGGGGAGGAGATAAAGCAGTGGTACCGGGTTGGACTATAGGAGCCTATGAATGATGTCTCTGCTCCCCGGCATTGCCAGCCATTGTTGAGCGCACAGTCCACTCCCCTGCAACTGGGGCTGGCAGACACAGGGAAGATTACTTTTGTGAGTACCCCTCTGGGGGTGATTTTTCACAAGCATGGCAGATCTTAAGTACAAGAAGATAGGGTCAGTTGGACTTGCTAGCTCAGGTCTTGGCTCTATTGAGGGTGGTATTTTAACCACTCAGGGCCATAGTGCCTTTTACTCTGACAGAGACCCCCACTCTGACTCCCTGCCTTTCTCATGCCATTCTTCTGGCTTGTCTGTCACACCAGCTTCCTTTTTATATCCAGAGGAGATTTCTATGCCACAGATGGCAGGAGTCAAAGCTATGCTCCTTCAATTTTCACTGCTAAATCGGTCTTTGATTCCACCTCTGCCAGAAATGTTACTTGAGGAAGAGGTGGCAGTTGAGGATGATTCTTCTCCTTCATAGTAATTGGATCAGGATGATGTGCCTATGGTTGACATTTCACCAAGCTGAATTTTTGATGCAGTATGCACCTGCTCAGCATTAGAGAAGCTCACCCCAAGGATACCAGCATGGGGTCCCTGAAATTATCTAAACCAGCAAACACTTTCCCAGTTCACTCTCTGGTAGAGCCTGTCCTGTATGGGGACTGGCCTCACCCAGAAAAGATTTTTTCACTCCTCTAAAATGCTTCTCTCAATCATATGCTATTGAGAAGTTTTAGATGAAAGTGAGTGGTTCCTCTGGTGGATCCTGACATTTTTTTTTATCTTAAGACCTTCACAGCTCCTGTAGAGGATAATTCCATGTTCAAAAACCCAGTAAATGGAGCATGGCCTGGAGCAGCTTGGAGTAAGGCGCATGTGAGGAGAGCTCCGCTCACGAACTATCCTTTCTCCATTATCTTGTGATTTTTATCCTTTTTTTCAAACCCTATTACCACCCGGGGGTCTTCTTGCTGCAACATCAAGCAGTGCCTTACTACCGGTTGAACTTCACAGAAAGTGTTTGCCTCTCCTAGTATCAGTGTACATGATGCCATTCCATGAAGGACCCCCCTGACCGGCTTCACCCTGGATACAATCAACACCTATGCTAAACCAGTACTTCTCCACTGTTTGTCTTAGTTTGCTTTTATGGTTTACATTTTTGAATGGATGCTCACACTAAATTGGGGTTTTGTAGAGTGGGGTGGGAGGGTTCAGTGTGACCTACCTGGTGTATGTCCTACACAGGTGTTAACTGGTAGTCCTCCTTCATTGTCTGTCTGTAAATGTATATATTTCTACTGTTCTGTTGGTCTGAGTGCCCACTAGCCGTAACTATACCATTCCCAAACCATTATAGCCCACTTTATACTTCTCACTTGGAACGTTTGCGGTCTTTGCGACAAAGTTCAACTTTCTTCAGTCCTAGCCTACCTTAGGTCTCAACATTCTGACAGTATGGCTTTGAAATTACCAACTATAATCATTGCATGTTACATATCCCCTCTATACAATTCTGCAGTGCTCAATGATGGGTTCTCATACGTTGCCCAATATCCCACAACACATGCTATATGGCTGGGTGGCTTCAATATGGTGGTCAACCCTAGCTTGGACAAAGTAGGCCGTTTGACTATCTCACCCACCCATAACCGCGACACCAGATTTAGCCGTATGCTAACAGAATTTGCACTGGTAGATTCCTGGAAGCACAAATATCTACCTCTAAGGTGTGTTCATGTTTCTCCACTACACACTCCTCCATGTCCTAAAATGATTTTATATTGTTATCTAGGCTCCTTCTACCATGCCTATTACAGGCAGGGCTTCGTCCCCAACTCCCCAAACACTTTTTCACTCTTCTCTCTATTGGATAACCCTTCAATGTAGACCCATCCTTTCAAACCATATGTGGTGCTTGAATCCATTCTGGTTGACAGTCCTGGCAGATCCTGATGACATCTAACAGGAGTGGCAATTTTTCTTTGATACAATCCAGGGTATGGCCCCTATTGGAATGGTCTGGGAGGCCTTGAAGCTCCATACCTGCACGCTCCTCTTGATTCGTATCTCATTTGGCAGGGATCCTTCCCCAGCAAACACCTCTTACCTGATCAAAAGAGAAAAGAAAAGACAGAGCCTGCTGCATCCAATGCCACCACCACTCATATCCACATCATCCTGACTATACGAATTCTCAATACCTGGAAAATAGCCTGAAGTGAGTGCGCTGTCTCTTTAAGTCATAAAGTTCAAAAATGCATAAATATATGATCAATTCATCAAATAAGAGTAACTTTCAAGCTGCAAAAGTGCTAAGTGCAAACATTGTACTGTCTCTTTAAATGAAAAAATGCTTATATTATATGCCTAATTGATATACATTAATATACTCATATAGTGCAATAAATAATTGTGCAAAATAATGCTTAAAGTGCAATCTGCGATTCATACACTAAAAATAAAAAAAAGTTATTCAACTTATTGAACAAGTTCTGTGATGATAAATTCCACCAGGAAAATCTTGTGACATATCCCACCACCTATAGAGGCACTCCTTAATGGAATGATCAGACCTCTAAGTTATAGCAGGTTGAACAAGCATGAAGAATTCCAAAAGGCAAATAGTAACAACCTGGAGGCAATCTCACAACAAGGATCCACCTCTAATTGCCTCTAGCTGGTCTCATTTCATGGCTCCAGCAACTTTGAAAAAACCTCAGTGGACCATCAACAAAATGACCATGCCAGTATACGGAAACACATGAAAAGCTCCATGGCCCAGTTTCACAGATTGCTTAGATTTTTTTATCAGAAATTGTACATTCAAAAGGAGACGCAGACAGGCAAAACACCAAAAACATGGAGCCGCTGATGAGGGTCCAGCGTGTGCAATGACGTCACAGGTAAGCACTCGGCTTCACATCAGTAAGCGTATTCAGTGGACCGCAGAACCCTACTATTCCTAGAACCATGCAGGCATATATCGCTACTGCAGATTGGCATTCATGTCCTGGCAAAAGTGTTTGCCACCCGTCTCAGCCAGATAAATTTATCCTTAATCCACCCAGACCAGACTGACTTCATGCCTGGTAAAAATACAGCAATAAATATACCGCAATTATTCATGAATCTTCAAGCCAGTCAGGATGATGTGGATATGAGTGGTGGTGGCATTGGATGCAGCCAAAGAATTTGATTCTGTGGAATGAGGATACCTCTGTGAGTGTCTAAAATGTTTTAGTTTTGGCCCTAATTTCATCATGTGGGTGCAACTGCTATAGCAAGCCACGGTAGCACTGGTATCTGTGAATGGCTAAGTCTCTGACCCCTTTACCCTATACAGGGGCACCCACCAGGGCTGCTCCTTTGTGCTCTGGCTGCAGGGCTATTGGCAATTTCCATTAGATCTCATCTTACTATGCATGGGCTCATGGTGGGATGGTTAATAGAGACCATAGGCTTATACACTGACTATATGCTTCTGTACTTGGAGGATCCCAGACCATAACTCTTAGCCACTTTACACCCCACTAAATGGTTCAGGGATCATTTCGGCCTAAGGATTAATTGGGTGTCAGATTCTTCCCCTAGATCACTTTCCTCCCTCTCCTACACAGGCCACTCTTCCCCTTACCAGGGTAGCCCCAATACAGTATTTAGGGGTGTATGTCACCAGTTCTCCTACTGACTAAGAGTTTCTCAATGTGGAACCCCTATTCAATCTAATTAAAACTAAAATGCAGACATGGGCTAAGCTCTCTCTAGGGGTCATGGGTAGAATGAACCTGATTAAAATGGTGCTTCTGCCAAAAATCCTATATATCGTATGACACCCCCCGGCGTACCTACCACTGAAAACTCCTTCATGTGGGGCAGCACTAGACACAAACTTCCCTGGCAGACCCTAAAAACCCTGGGAGGAGCAGCTCTGCCTGACTTCAATAGTTATTACCTAGCAGTTCCGCACTCCCACTTTTATCACTTTGACAAATCAGATATGATGCAGTATCAAACCTTGGTCTGTAATCTACCTACCTATCCCACCTTTCCTTACACGATGTAATGTCTAATAGTGGACTCAAAACCTTTCAAACATTCAAACACCTGAGAGATTACTTTTCCCTGTTGTTCCTTTTATATGTGCAATCAGTTTCAATAAAGAACTTATTTCTTTAAAAAAAAAAAGACCCAGTAGACAAGAAGTGAGATGCCCTCATTAAACCTCATTTTTTTTTTTTTTGAGGCATCTGCCAGAGAAGTAACCGCAGGTTAAATGGCAGTCTACCAGAAGACTGCAGTCTAGACTAAGTGCATGGTCAAAATCTTAATTTCATCCTTACAGATGCTTCTGTCCACAGTCAGTTAGACCCTTTACCTCATACTACTGCATGAATGGTTTGGTAGATACACTTCTCTGGAATGTGTCTTCTACCCCGTCATATTGTAAAGCGCTGAGCAAACTGTTGGCGCTCTATAAATCCTGTGTAGTAATAATAATAATATCTACACGCACAGGATCCCTTGGCTTAAATGCTGTTCAGCTTCTGAGCTCCCATGCAAGAATTGCCTTTAGTGGTTACCCTCTAAAAGGGAATGCCTATTCGGTCCCTCCTTGGATAAATACATCAGGGAGGTCAAAGGGGGTAAGAGTAGTCACTTACACCAGAAAAAAAAAGGCCTGCACCTCTGCAGTCTTCTACTACTTAGGTTACAAAGGGTTCCTTTCAGTCTCTCTATTCCAAGTGTAAGACTGGAACATACGTTTGTAAGAA